TGGCCTAGGCTATGGCCACAATATTGGGGTAGGTTGGCCTAGCATTTCTAATATTGTTGTGTTGGGTTCACACTGTTAGATGAATAGATAATTACATTTCTTGTTCCTGAAATGGAGTGCCTACATGCTCTAGTGTATTGAAAACTTATGTAGAGAAAACCCTGGAAAAGGGCAGGGCACCTGGAGATGCCCAAGTAAAAAGGACTGTGGATGGAAGAGGCATGATGGAGATGAAATCCCATTTTCTTGTAGTGTGGTAAGAAAGCAGCAGAAGGGTCTTGCTGCAGACCCACCAGGCAGGGCTGTGAAACCAGGTTGAGATTGACTGCTCTTTCCTCACCTTCTCTTTGATCCAGTGCACCTTGCATTCCTTGTGGCAGGTGGCCCAGATTTACCAGGAGGTGCTCTTTCTCAGACTTTCCTAGAAAGTGGCAGATTTCAAACACCAAACTGGTGTCTGGTCTAGAAATCAGATCTTCCATCTTGTGGACAGGGCCCAAAGCATTGCTTTGTTGTGCAGGAGAGCCTGTGCGGTGGTCGTCTGTCTTCTTTCCTACCCAGCATCAGGGAGCATCGAACTGTCTTACAGAAGTGCCCTGTGCAGCTCATGGGAGATGATATCCTGAATCCAGGATGCTGTATGCATGTGGTTTCACATCACAGCCACACCAGCATAACAGCCTGGCTCTCACTCTTTTTTCTGTCTGCCCTGACCCTGACCAGTAGGTCACACACCTGACTCTGCAGTGAACGCGCACGGAGTGGTAAGCTAGCAGAAAACATATCCCCTTTTTCTGTCTGAGTCAGTTGTCCACCAGTTGACCTTTCTGAAGTGGCTCACCAGGGTCAAAGCAGCAATAGGGCTAGCACAAGGGAATTAGTAGCAAGTAGCACGTGGCCAGGAGTGGAGCAGCCAGAGGCAGCTGGAGGTAGGGGTTGTACTGAGAGCAGCTCGACCCTAGCGTGAGCTGCATCCTCCCTCAGCCCCCAGAGGCACTGCTGATCTCTGCTGACTCTTCAGAGGTCTTTGCAACCGAGTTACCCAACCAGGCACCTTCTCTGCGGGTGCTGCGAGTGCGAAGCAGAGCGCTTTGGATAAGCAGCGCATCTGGCCGTTGGAGTCATGTGGAGGTGGACAGCAGGTCTAACCACATCACTCTCTTCAGTTCTTTTGCCTTGCAGTTGCCACTGCTAAGCCCTGAAAAGCACGTGGATTTTTGTGAGCCTGTCAGCTTAGAGCTTATCGCTTCAGGGAGAATGTTAAGATCTTCACTGGAATCTGGGCCCTGAACGAAGCAGACAAAGGTCCTGAGAGTTGCGGAGACTTGACTGGGGGCTCTTGCTGCTCATTCAGGCCAGTTGCCGTAATATTGAGTCTTCCTTCAGGAGACTGAAGTGTTTTTGCTAACACTGAGGTGTAAAGAGGGAAGTGAAAACAAGGTGGGGAAGCAAAAGGCTTTATTTTGCTTTTTTTTGTTGTTTTATTTGTCTCTGAGCTACTCATGTGTAATTGTTTCAATTTCCAACAGAGAAGTTGGAGTGATAAAAATAACCCCTATTAAGAAAGGTAAAAAAGAAAATTGCATATGCAGTTACAAGGAGGAGAGGGAGAAGTCAAAAAGAGCACTATAGTTGGACAAATCACTGGTTGAAAGTCTTTGTATTAATTCACTTGAGATACAGAGGGACAGAGGAGAAAAAAGACACAGTGAAATCCATAACACGAGTACAATTAGATCAGCAGAGCACATTATTTATATATCTTTAATTCTCTAATAATTTTCTGATCATCCTTCTATGCCACAGAGTAGTGTTAGAGCTGAAAATGTTGAGGAGTTTATGGGGATATTAAGAATAATTAAAAAAAAAAGGTCACACTTATAATGGTTAAGATAAAACCAAACCATTCCTTCACACCTTCCTTCCTGCCCCCGATATTTGGAAGGGTTAACAACCTGCATGTTTTAAAGCTTAAATCAACCTTCAGTGAAACCGGACCTGAATTTTTTCCTGAGGGGTTTGGCGTGCTTTCCTTAGTAGACTGTAGTACTGTAACTATTTGACACAAGAGTACTAACATGATGTCAGTCTGGCCACTCAAATTGAGTATCATCAATTCCTAGATACGACCGAAATGCCACCTACAATACTCATCACCAGCAATATCACTCTTCTGCTGAACCTGGGCTTCTCCTTCTCATGCAGGACCTACATTACCTCTCTGTAAACTTCATGAATTGTTAAACTTTCCAGCCACTAGCTTTTGTGTCTGCTAACTTTAATGGAAAGTAAGTAACTGCCATGGATTATTTGCTCTGCTGTTCTTGAAAGTAAGAAAAATGTTTGTGGTAACTTTGTGGATAAAAATAGATTATGACCCATTAGCCCAGCAAGTCAGTGAACTGGCTTATTTTTTTCCGTTAGTAATAAAGAAATTAGTAGATGAAGTCACTCCTATAAGCAAGTCTCAGCATACAAAGCAAAAGCAGCAATGCCTTCACTTAATTACCCAGCAGACCGGTCATTTTTACTGACGCACACAAGATAGTGGGATTTGAAACTATATACTTTTAAATTTGAATATAATATAATATAATATAGGGATATAGAATTTTGAAACAATATTGTTTCAAAGCTCTGTAGGCATTTTAAAGCTACAGGACTATGATGGGAATCCAGCCTCAGCAGAACTCCGTTTTAAAATATCTGCCTCCATCCTAGCTTCATCAGAAGGAAACCACTGATGGGATTTGGATGCAGAGACAAATAAACACTGTACAAAGCAGCTTTAACGCCTAGTCAGGAAAAAAATCTCCCCATGATTCCTGAAAGATGAAAGTGGCAACTTTCTTGTATTTGCTAGATTTCTGTTTGAGTTTTACCCTCTTTTGAACGCTCCCTGACTGCTGCAGCTGTGGAGAAGACTCTCAAGAAACATGAAAGACCTCTAAGCTGCCTTCTGCTGAGCCGAGGCAGGGCATATGCTTTGTTTCGGTCACCAAGTGTAGTCATCTGAAGTTCAGGTAGATTTTTTGCTAGAAGCAGCCTCTTTTGCGTCAGCGGTTACACTAATCCCCAACTGCAAGACACTGAACAGAGAGGACTGTGGTGAAAGCAGATAATCCCCCTGTTGACTACTGCTGGTTAAAACAAGCTATGGGACATTTGTAGGCTGAAAAT